AAACAGCAGTTTAACTTTGCAGTGTTTCGTATGAAGTTTCGTTTTTGTAAGTGTAGAAAACTGGAGACCCCTTTTTACTGGAAACGAAGCACTCCATCTTAGTCCTCATGGGTGACATCCAGAATAGATGAAGAATGTCCATAGGCCACAAAATCCACTTACCATCACGTGGACTGTGTTGCTTTGTCACTCTTATAGTATTAAAAAAACTATACATTCTCGTGGAATTTGTGTTCTATTAGTGAAATAAATATCTTAAACCGTAAACACGTATAATTTTTTATGAAATGAAATGAAAATGACATTTTAAATCGCTCCCGCTTACAGTTTAAGGCCAACGCTGTTTTCCTTTCATTTGCCTCTGACTGTATTATCTGTGCCAGTGAGGTCGCAACAGGCGGGACTGTCGGCCTAACGGTTAGATCGTCTTCATGGGGCGAGGAATGTCGCCCAACAGGTTCTACCTTAGGACAGCTATTAGATAATAAGGTCGAGAATTGCGTGTGCTGGCGCGACCCTACTACTTATGCAGAAAGATAGTGTCAATAAACCGATATCAATTTCGCGGATTCATCGAACTTCAATGAGCTGTTCATTCATAAGCAAGCGGTTAACACTTCGCTTGCACTTTAGTTGGGTTTATGATCCGTTAGTCGATTCAGACAGGTGAATATTGTTTTCTTTCAATCAACAGACGCCACATAACTTGTAGCGCAGTGGTTAAGTGTTTCGTTGCGTGTTCAATTCCCATAAGAAATAAATGTTTGTGGGGAGGTCTTGGAAATTTTATAAATTGAATAGAAAATGTTTAAAAGGGATTATGTTATCGTAATTTCTATCGTAGGCGATGTGTTATGGCGACGTAAGAGGCGAGAGAGAGAGAGAGAGAGAGAGAGAGTAATGGAACAGGAAATGGGTGGCAGTATCAGCCTGATAATTAATAACTGAAAATAATAAAAAACTGCGGTTACAAATATCCCACAAAATATAGGGATGACAAATATAACCACGTATGAGGCAATTTATGGAGTAGGCTTATGTTTAGCTGTGATCTTTTGATATGTTATAATGTATGTATTACTTAGCAAACTTTAAATAGATCGAATCCTTTAACGGTGTTACTTTTGTATTTTGTCATCTAATGCCCTGAAAGGTGTCTTTTACATCATTTTAAGTATATTTTAGTTGATTAGTAAAATCGATTTAGTAGCGGTAGCTATTCGGACTAAATTTGTCAAAAATATGAGCAACATATAAAATTGTGAAAGAGACCATAGATTAGCCTATCAACTTTTCAAGAAATCCACTGCTGTGATTCCGTTTTAAAGAGCTAGTAATATCATTGCAGACCATGAGAAGTCTACAATAGCAATTTACGAGGTGGACTGTTCACACTTTCCTTACAATGCTGCATATTTTTTAATAGTTTTAGTGGTTGAGCTCTGCTGTAGATGTATTGTAGCTGCAAACGAATGCTTTGCCTTGACTGGGAGGACCATGCTTTAATAAAATATAGGCGTAAAATAGTTTCGTAATGCTGCGGTATTTCGTATGGTCAGTATAGACCCTTTTTACTGGTAAGAAGGCATCCCACGTAAGTCGTCGGTAATAAAAACGCATTTGTATTTTAGTTCTTAATAAGTCATAGATTTAAGTGTCTTAGGTGTGGCCTAAGACACTTACCATTAGGTAGATAAGATATTCGTTTGTCACCGTTAACATAACATAAACATTCATGACTCTCGTCTGACACCCAGAGGGATAGGCGGAGACCACGGTCTTCCATTTGGCACGATCTTGACACGTCTCTCGCCTCCTTTACATCCGTATACCTACGCATTCATGCTATTCGTCACAGTTACTTTTATAAAAAAATAGTTGGAACTACAATCTTACTTGTGGTAATTGATGTTAGAGTTCATTATTAGCGAAATAAGTTGAAAAATAGCAAAGATATAAAATATATTCTTAGCTGCTCGGGAGGCCGAACCTAGTCGTAAATTCCATAGTACGCAAGTTACCCAAATTCGGTTGCCAACACTGATGAAATTATTAATTGCAATTTTATGTGCTGATTTACACGCGTTCGATGGTGAAATAAAAATAGTGTTTAAACTTGTGTCTAATTTATGTAGCACAAATGAGAGGAGTCCTTTGTTCAGCAAAGGGACTAATATTACAGGCTTTACTGTTTTACTGTCAAAATAAAAAAAATAAAGTTTCCAAAAGTGTGTATTGTCAGTGAGCCGCTAGAAATTTTGCAATTTTGAAAACACTAGAGGAATCCTTTAGTCAATTCAGCTAATTTTCACTGCATAGCTTCGCGTAATTTGTGTTCAAGCAACGTCCAAAGCGTCGTCTTGAATAGTTACTGAGTATATTATCTATGGTTACTGTCATGACTTCTTAGCATTTGAGACGGCGCGCCGAGTCAAGTGGCGCCGCACGACCGCATATAGTCAACGCGGAGAAAAGATTCTTAGAAAATGAAAAAAAAAAGTATTTTAAACTAGGCGTCGGTTGAAGTCGCTGGGTGGCTTTCTCAAAACAGTTGCAGCTGATAGCAACTTGTTTATAAATTAAAATTCGCACGTTGATGGAAAGGAAGAAGTAATTATGATAAAAAAATTATAAAACTAGCTTTTATGCTTTTAGATACTATTAGATATTAACTTTAGGTTTTTCCCCTGTAACTTACCTTGTTGTGTGCTTCACTAAATACAACTGATTAGTTTTATAACTCTAGTAACAAATTTTCATGTTAGCTTTTTTTTGTTTTATTTAATTTGAAAGCAGTAAGGATGACAAACGAGCACATAGTCCACTAATGGTAAATGGATGCCATGACGAGCGTGAAAACTACATACATTTTTTTAAAGGAGAGGGTGCAAACGAACATACGGCCAACCTAATGGTAAGTGACTACCGCCGCCCATGAACTACTGAAACACCAGGGGAATTACAGGTGCGTTGACGCCCTTTTAGAAAGGAGTAAGCTCTTTTCTTGAAGGTCCCTAAGTCATATCGGTCCGGGAAAATCGCCGGTGGTAAACTATTCCACAGAGAGGTCGTACGCGGAAGAAGACTCCTAGTGAAACGTACAGTGGTGGACCGCCAAGCGACGTGGATGATATCGGGAGTTTTGTCGCGATGTGCTTTCGTAAAATTTGGCGGTTGGGATTAATCCGAATAATCCCTCAGATCACTCCCCGTGGTATATGGGAAAGAAAATCCAAAGGGGTGCAACATCTCTTTGCAGCGCCAGTGAATCTAGCCGATCAGAAAGCATTCGGTTGTCAACGATTCGAGCCGCTCTGCACTGGATGCGGTCAAGTATGACGAGCTGGCACTGGAGAGCCCCAGCCCAGAGATGGGAAGCATTCCATGTGAGGCCGAACCTGCGTGTGGCGGCGCTGTCGTCGCGCCACAAGCGAAATACACCGAAGCCTAAATCACGCTATCAACATTCCGAATCATAAACAGCATATATAGAACATCTCCGAAGTATCACACGGAGTGTCGGCCGCTCCCCGGGCAGAACACCTTGCCCGGCGGGAGATCTCCCCTGTTCCTTCCATGGCCACACTGCGCCTTGTAAATTTGCAGGCGGTGTGCCGACATTAAAATGCTGTCCCGCTCTGCTGTGCACGCCAAGCTTTTTAGAGGCCAATCTGGCCTTCTCTTCCAAGTGACCACGAAACGTCACTCGATATGTTGACGCCGAGGATTTCGATACTGGCTGAAGCAACAAGGAGAGTGCCTTGAAACTGAGGAGATATGACAAAGGGGTTCTTTTTAGCGGTTAACACGCAAGGTTGTGTCTTCTGTGTATTAAACTGGACTAGATTTAGTCGCCTCCAATCCGAGACTTTGTTCAGAAAAGACTCGACTTCAGACACGAGTTTGTTCCGGTACTCGGCGACGTTTTTCCGAGAAATATTGGCACTGCCGGTGTATAGAACATCACCAGTGCTGTCATTCGTATAGCAATGAATGCTATCACATTACACATATCACATATACACAATATATACTAAATTAAAAATCAAAAAACAAATGCGTTGTCACTCTTGTGAATAGGATGGAATACCTCGTTATCACTAAGAAAGAAAGAAATAAATTTATCAGTAAAAATAGTCTCCGGTTTTGCCAGTCACCATACGAAACACAACATCATACTGCCCTTACGCTGGTATTCTATGAGAGCTTGGTTTTTGTGAGACCATTATAAAAATGCAATGACAAACGATCTTTTCGTCTACCTGGCGATTAAATGTTACTGCATCCCTGCAACTAAATAAAGAAGTACAAATTTAAAAATCAGCCAATTGCGAATCGGACTCGCGCATGAAGGGTTCCGTACCATCGTAAAAGTATGTTTCTAGTAGGGGAGCGGCCTTTGATTTTTAATTTATTTTTATTTTTATTATTTGTTGTTATAGCGGCCACAGAAATATACATGTTCAATTTTAATTGTCTTGCTATTACGGATCATGCAATACAGCCAGCCGATAGATAGACGGACGGACGGACAGTGGAGGCTTAATGATAGGGTCCCGTTGATTACCCTTTGGGTACGAAACCCAAAAAAAGGCTACAGATGCGATGTTACCTACAAGCACTAAGAGAGAATGCCTCATAGTCTATAATTATATTTCTCTCTATATATTCAGAGCGGAATACAGGATATACTGTTATTTGACTGCAGAAATAGTGATACTTATTCTTATATCGGTTGATATTTACCCTTATATAGAATGATACTTACCCTTATATAGGATGATACTTACCCTTTTTTAGAGTGGTACTTACCTTTATATAGAGTGATACTTACCCTTGTATAGGGTGATACTTACCTCTAGGAGCTCCTAAGGGTATGTGCCGAAAAAGGCTCCTACCACGTAATTTTTTATCGTCATTTAATATGAGGGTTTCCTATTTCAGATCTGTTCGAGTCACTGGATACACAGGTGGAGACTAAGAGCTGTCCAGGTGTGTGCATGCACACGCTAACCGCACTCATCTGCACCAACGTGAGAGATGATGCGGAGTGTCCTAAGGGCATGAAGTGCTGTATGGACGAGCCATTAGGTAATTGTTAAAATACCCATAAAAAGAGCAAAATCCTTTCTAGAAAGAAAGAAGATAACTGTATTTTTTTCTTCTCTGATAACCTCTTTCATTCTTAATTTACTTCATACACGTTTAAGAATGTTCTAACTGAACTGAATGAGCTAAAAATATTCCATTTAACCACTCCTGGTATGGTTGTGTTAGGAGTGGTTCTCGACAGTTATAGTCGAATGACGGATTCGAATCCACGACCTTTTGAGGTTATGATCCGCATCCTGCGTTTAGGCTACTATCGTTTCTAAATATTGACAATATATAATTAGTCATTAAGGATGTAGCTTTACATTTTTGATCGAATTTAGGAATATTTAAATTACTTAGTTATTTCAACCCTACACAGGTTCACAGTTGAATAGAGGCATATATGTATAGGCCCCCATAGATTAAATCTCAATAGATGTTTGCCAAGTTACCACGCTTGGTGGGCGGTTTGGCAGTCGCATTTTTTATTAATATTGAATATTTACCAGGAAGACGGTGCGTCGTCGGCTCTTATCACATAATGATATGGGGTAGTGGTTAGAGAACCTATACGCTGCCACACCATGGAAAGGTTAAAATCCACAGTATGTAGTTTGTATTAAATAGTTCGAAGTGTATCGATTATATAGTGTGTATCGATTATATAGAGGTGGTTATTATCCAGTATTTTGCCCGCGGATCAAGTGGAACTTATTTTAATTTTTTAATGTTTAATAAACAGATTTATCCAATAATTAGATACGCATATTTTATTTATTCTGAACAATACAATTTGTGTTGATTAACTCGTGCAAAAATACAATTGAAAAGCTTAACAACCAAATTATACAACATGTAACAAAAACCCTGTGGTTCCCGTTAACTGCGTTATCAGAATCAGTATCCAAGCATATGCAAATAATTTCTTTTCAAAAAAACGCATTTAAAAAAAATAATTTTAATGAAAGAAAAAATTAAATTTGCAAATTTTATGTGGTTTTATTATCTCTGCATTGGCCGAGGAGTAAGAGGATTGTCAAAGATCCCGCATTACCGATACTCGTGTTAGCTAGAGGAAATAAAACCACATAGGTACAATTTGCACATTAATTTTTTTTCATTAAAATAATTTTTAATGCGTTTTTTTTTGAAAAAATGTTTCTATACGCTTGGCTACTGATTCTGATAACACACTTAACGGGAATCACAGGATTTTTGTTACATATTGTATAAAATTACAATAAAAATATAAAATTATGACAATAACTATAAATTTACAATTATATAAAAAATACAATAAAATTTACAAGTTAAATCTCACCACTATCAATAAAATTTAAAGTATTAAATATCACAAAATAATAATAACTCTATTTGTCAGAAAAATATACAATTATTTCTTAAAATGTCATCAAAGGTTTTAAACATTGAATTTTATGTAATTAGCATTAGCATGTCGATTTTTTTCCAATAGGAACTTTTTAAAAGTATTTTTGAAGCTACTCTTGTACAACGTATTTTTTAAATCAGTAGATAATCTATTAAACAGAAGTACTGATTGATAATGAGCTGATATTTTATACATATAGACAGTGGCGTAGCAAAGGGGGGGTGGGGGCGTGGGCGGGTCGCACCGGGTGTCACCTTTTTTGGGGTGACACCCACCCGGTCTCTCAACTTTAAGAACAATGTACAAACAAAAAATAAATAAATCGCTAGCACAAAAATTTCTTTTTCGGGGATTCCTCCACTAGCACTAGCTCAGCTCTAAGTATAATTCGGGGATTCCCGCAAAAGAGCCTCACGCTCTCGAAGTCTCTTCAAAATGTAGCTTCATTGTTCGAGATCGTACAAACTAATGTTTTGCTTTTGGCGAATACTGAAGAACTGAAATTAGCTACATCTAAATTTACTAATTTTTATGATGAGTTCTCAGAAACCGAATTACTTTTGGAGATACCAAGACTGCGAAGACACTTAAAAGCCGCTAATGTTACGGTTACTGATTGGGCGTCTCTAGATTTTTTAAAGTTTATTATAATATTTTTTAATGTTATATATAGATTTCACTGAAGTTGTTCATGACGGTTTGCGTGTCCGTAGCTTCATGTGAGAGGAGTATTCAGTAAATTATAATTAATAAAAAACTATTTGCGGGCAACAATGACCTAATCGCGGCCTAGCATCTTGGATATTAGCCATCGAACACGAGGCAATACTAAATATAAATTTCGTTATTGCTGAGTTTGCAGCTGTCAAAGCTAGAAAGAAGAAATTTTGTATAACAATTTCTTTTCTGTCTTAGTTATTATTGTGTTTTGTTATTTCTTCAATATTACAAATAATAAATGATCCATGGTACAAATAATAAATGAGCCGTGGTAGCTCAGATGGTTAACGCTTGCTGTAAATATAACAGAACGCGGGTAACCCGGGTTCGATCCCCGCCGGCACGAATGAAATTGTTAATTGCAATTTTACCACGTGCTCGGTGGTGAAGGAAAACATCGTGAGGAAACCTGCATGTCTGAGGAATAACAAAAAAAATTATTTCGAAGACATGTGAAGTTCACCAACACGCATTAGGGCAGCGCGGCGGACACTTCCTTGCCCTAAAACCCTCTCAGAAATGAGGGGAGGCCTGTGCCCAGCAGTGGGACGTATATAGGCTGTAACTTTACTTTTACTAAATGATCCATGCCCTTTATCATATAAAATTTATTGCTTTTTACTTTCGATGGGGTGACGCCACCAACTTCCGCACCGGGTGCCACCCAAGGTAGCTACGCTACTGCATATAGAGGCGTCGTAGGAGAATCACTAGTCGACATTTATGTGGCATCCCGTGGGTGTCGTAAGAGGCGACAGAGGAAAATTAATCAGATGGGCAACAGTAACTCCTGATAACAACACAAATGAATAAAAAGTTTTGTAGTTTTGTTTTGTTTTGGTTATTTGTTTGTTGAGTGTGGTGATTATGGTAGATATACCCTGTATGGGGCAATCTATGGGGAGTGGGGGCAATGTTCAGCAGATGACTTTTAATAGGCCACAATGGATCCATTAAGTACCATGTTTGGCAGCGGGTATGTAGGTGCAGATCTGACTACTGGTGATTAAATACCGCATCATCTGTAGCATCCTAGTTTTTAACTTTGAATTATTTTTATGAAGATACTGCTACCCATCTCCTCTTTCACTCTTACGACCAACACTCACGGGGTGTTATGGGGGACCTAGCGGAGCGGTCAGTCGCCTGTCTGTGCCTAATTAGCGCTATGTACAATATTAAAGTGAACGTACGCGGCTTTAGCGTGGCCTAAGGGCTATCTCAGCCGCACCTTAACCTACTATCACTGATAATACAATCGGGCCGCTAGTTGTAAGGCACCGTTTAGTAAAAAGGTTAGGCTGTTAATTGCACGACTATGTTAAGCTAGTTTGCTGCGACATATATTCATACAAATATTTCGTGTACTTTAAAGTTACTATATTTTCAGAGAACGAGACGGCAATAAGCACGAGGCGACCGTTCACGACGCGGTACACCACCACGGAGTCCGATGAAGATGAAGACGAGACCACAACCCTCGCACCCGACAGATACAAAGACAGTGGTAATTATTAGGTACACCATATTAAATATTAGGTCTTAATATTCGCGAACATTTAGCATCTGTAGGAAGAATAAATATTAAAAGATGAAGTCTTAAATTAAAAAATAAAATAAAAAAGTGGAGATGGTTTTCGACTGTGTTTTTTTTTCTTCTGTTACGCAATGTTTTCGTATAATATGAATCGATTTTGATGAGTCTTTTTACCCGACTGCCAAGGAACGGTATATTTTTCCCGCGTATCTTATATAATTTGTTTGTAAATTTCTTTATTACCTTGTATCTTCGTCAGCTAAAGTATCGTTGTATTCGTCTTAAAAACCCAAGTGTTCTTACATAGCTTTTTTAACAAAAAACAAAATGGCGGAATTTTTACGCGATATAGTATTTTAAAAAAATAACCAAATCTATCAAGTAGGGTATCGACATAATGACAATTAAAAGAGGATTAAAATGGACCGTGCTTGTGTCTGAATTTGTGCTACCATATGAAATTTAGACCAGTTATAAATATCCAAGTATCTAAAAAATCCAAAAAATTATCTGAATCTGAATCAATATTCAGATGCGTTGTCACCCCTAAAAACTAAGATGGAATTCCTCGTATCCGAGACACCGATAACTATATCAACATAATATCGATACGAAACACAGCATTATTTTGCTATTCCACGCTGGTATTTTGTGCGAGCATAATCCACGGTCGAGCCAACCCATTCGTACTATAACCATAATATAGCCGCAAAAGAGTTCTACCACGTAATAAAGGTGGTATAGCTCCCAGTAAAATAATTACACTGTTACAGAACATATGCACTTGCAACTTAATATTGCTGTGCTTCGTATAGTGAGTGTAGAGATCCGGAAACCCTTTTTTACTGGAAACAAGGCATTCCATCTTAGTCCTCAGGGGTGACAATGCATCTGCATTTTGATTCCTAATCGAGGATAAATGTAGATGTCTATGGGCCACAGCATCCACTTACTGTGTGCTCGTTTGTCACCGTTATTCTACAAAAAAATGCCATTTCTACTTTGTCTACATGGCAAAGGACTGGTATATGTTATTAGGTAAATTAATATCCGGTTTTGTTGCAGGTAATATCGCATGTCCAGACGTGTGTGTCGTAGTACAGCTGGCCCAGTATTGCCAGGCGTATCTCACAACGCCGAAGCTCTGCGTTCAGGGCCGCGTGTGCTGCGTCACTAAGGACTACTACGGAGACAACCCGCCCGAAGACCTGGTCATCCCTAATGAAAAACACCATAAAACTAAGAAACCTAGTACAGCAGTAAGTGAATTTCTTTTAACTGCATTTTTTTATTTACTTGAATTAATATTTTTTTATAGTGAATTTGAAAATTTCACAATGAAATTTTTGAACACTTTTAATAATCACGTGTAATTTTGACCCATGAAATTATTATCCGCTATCAATATTCATCATCATCATATTACAGACTGAGAAGATGGGCAGGAAGATGCTGTGTGTCCCGTTTCAGTTTTTCTCTGTCGTCTCGTACGACAGCCACGGGACGACGTGGCGCAGTGGGTGTTCTTACACCACCACTACGCGATTTAATTGCCCACGAAGCTATAAATTAAACAAGGAATTTTACGTAAAAGTTACAGCCTATATACATCCCACTGCTGGGCACAGGCCTCCCCTCATTTCTGAGAGGGTGTTAGGGCAAGGAAGTGTCCGTCGCGCTGCCCCAATGCGTGTTGGCGAACTTCACATGTCTTCGAAATAATTATTTTTCTTATTCCTCAGACATGCGGGTTTCCTCACGATGTTTTCCTTCACCGCCGAGTACGTGGTTAAATCAGCACTTAAAATTGCAATTAACAATTTCATTGGTGCCGGCGGCGATCAAACCCGGGTTACTCGCCTTCTGTCATATTTACAGCGAGCGTTAACCATCTGAGCTACCACGGCTCGGAATTTTAAGTGTCTTACATAAAATAATGAAAATTTAAATGTAACATCAACTTAATTAGTTTGAGGAGAAAGCGTATCGAATGATTTCTAAAGCAAGCATTTTTCAAAAGTATATCTAGCGAGAAATTGTAGCTTAGAATATCATTGTTTTATTTTCACTTCAAATGAACTACTTTATTTATTTATTTATTATTATATCCACTTACTACTATCATGGGAACCTGAGAATGAGGTGATCGCCACCATGCTGATTCTACAAAAATTCGTACAAAAATTGAACAAATAAATTTATTGTAAACGTTTAAAAATAGTCCCGCTGGGTTTCTTGCTGGTTCTTTCTAGTACTAGGTTCTCTAGTTTCTAGTTTCTGGTTTTTTTACGAACCAGTGGTAAATAAAAAAATTACTTTCAATAAGTATTATATAATAAACTACATTGAATAAAATCATTCATTTAATTTCATGTCATTTCATTTCAATTCAGATAAACAAACCTGACTTTAATTATAGTACATGTCATAAGTCATTATGTTAAAACAGAAATAACTGTGCTACTATAGTGTTCTGTGAAGTTGATTTCTTCCGAATTTATTTAAAAATTGTCGTCTTAGTCAAAATCGGGCAAAAGTCATCATCAAAGTTAATACGGATTGTTGTGTTCCATACTTTATAATCAGCCAGCTTCAGAAAGCTTGTTTTCATTATGACTTAATAATAGTTATTTCTTTATTCAATATGTTAGCCGATATCTTCGCTTATATTGAATTGATTTTAATTCTTTTTTTAATATTCAATAATCAATGACAAAATCTATCACTGTGAGTGGGAAATAGGGAATGTAGTTTTTAATCTAGCTCTATAGATGAAGTTCTAGATATTAGCTTGAACTTGTGATGCTTTTTAGTCCACCTAAAGGATTACCATACAAACATTGATCCGTATTGTATTCGAACCCGCGGCTCGCATCCCAAAGCCGGACACTTACTTCTACTAGTACATCGCTACCGTCCTAAAATTAAACATGAATAAATCCAGTCAGGGCAATCTCGTTCTTAAATGCTTATACATTGCACTATTATTTGACTTTACTATATTGATAACAGTTCCAACGTGCTGTAAGCGACAATATTAACGGTTGCAACGTTTTCCAGTTGACGACAGTACCACCACCACCACCAAAGAAGAAAATCGACCGGGAGTGCCGTGGCGAGTGCATCAGTGGACTATTCGTACTGCTGTGCGACCACGTGGACGAGCAGGCCACTTGCTCCGATGGAGGAACCTGCTGCATCACCGATAACAAGAACACTGACACAACTACACGGAGACCTACCACCACACCGCGCCCCACCACACCCGTGAGTAACAGCTTATAACTTCTTATATGCGGTAGAGCCATCACTATCATCATCGTCGTTATTACAGCTCCTCAAAAGTCCACTACTGAACATTAATCTCCTCAAGGAATACCACAAAGCATGGTCCTAAGCCACATTAACCCATCGACTTTCTGCATGTCCAACCAGGTCGTAACTCCATCCAGTGGTAGGACGCCCTACACTTTGCCTACCGGGACGAGGCTACCATAAGAGCCATGCTATAGTTATATTATAGTTGTTGCATGAATGGGTCCTTTTTGACCGGGGTAGGATCACATCTCACAGAATACTAGCTTAAAATAGCAGCTTAAGTGTCGGTTCACACAGACCGGCTCGGAGAGCGTCGGAAGGTACTCTTCTTTTCACAAAGAAGCGCGATTATACGTTTGGCCGGCTTGCTTTGATTGTTAAAGGGTGCTGTTTAAACGTTACTACCAAAATTGCCCTGTATAGTATATTATTTATGATCAAAATGGCGGCTTTCGGCGTACACAAAGCAAAAGAGCACGCAAACGAAGCCGATCGTCAGCCCTAGCGCGGAAAACACGACAACACGATAACATAGGCAGCCAATGGGCTTCTCTTGTTGTTTTACACTAAGCGTGTTAGGTTGGCACTCGAGCATTCTCATATAATAAAAAGAGTGAAATGTTTGAGATGATTGAAATAAGGTTTATTTCAATCATCTCAAGCTCTATTTTAATCGCGGTCAAAATTTGCTCTCCTGTCCGAGCCGGTTTGTGTGAATGGACCCCAATGCTACTGTGTTTCGTATGGTGAGTGTCGAGAACCAGAGACCTTTTTTAATGGAAATAAGGCACTCCATCTTAGTCCTCAGGGGTGAAAACAATATCTGCATTTTGATTTGTAATTGAAGATAGATCTAGACTTCTGTGTGTAATCAGGCAGGCAGCATCACCAAGCTCCTGACTCCGGGCAAAACCAAGTTAAGCCGTTGGTCCTGCGTCTGATTTTTGTTCGGTCGTGTCGGATTGCCGTCTCATTGATAAGAGTGAGACTTCTCAATTACACCATCGCGCATCGCGACAGAACTCGAGATACCATCCATACTACCTGGATGATCGGCGGTCCACTACTGTACGATTAACAAAAAGTTTTCTTTGAATAAAACTATTATTTACGGATTTTATCGCGTTTTAATTACAACTATAATTTATTTTTATAATTCCGAGTTTTGTTCCTCGCACAACTTCTTTGTGGAATTGTCTACCACCAGCGATTTCTCGTTCATTTATGAAAGGCCGGCAACAGTTACCATCTGATATGCCGTATGCTCGTTTACCTACTCTCCTATAAAAAGTGAAGGATATGAGAGAGAGAACGAGTAGGCTGCATATCATGGTCTGAAGTGACTACTGCATTCTGTGTTTCTATCCGAGCGTTGTTCTTCCGCGGTCTAGCCTATCAGACTTTCCGGAGCGTCGATTCTTCACATCAGCTATGTGTTCTTTAACTCGGGCTTTTATTGATCTTTTAGTTTTTAACAAAGACCACGTCACAACTTGTGCTCTCCTGCATCTTGTAGAGACATATTACACTTGACGGGTGGTGAACTTATCGGACGGTGCAACCGTATACGCTGCAGTGTAGCTCTACCATGTACAAATGGGTACCTAATATTAATACAGCAGTCCGTCCTGGCTTCACTTGTATAAGATAAGACGCGTTATTTATATTTATGATAACTAAAGAACATTTATTTTATAAATTTTCCGCTTTTTCAAAAACAATCTTCAAGTTAAGTTCAATAATAATTCAACAAGTAATCCTCAATGTTCGGAAGATCAACCCAAACAAACAGACATACAATTTTTTTAAATGTTTATTTATGTCTCAATAGCATGCAAATTACTCGCTGAGATTAAAAGAAGCCAGTTTAGTATTATTACATACATAAACTTCAATTTTAATTATAGCACGAGGGGGTATGGTCATCCGGTGGTCATCCGGTTAATATGGTCACTAAAACTACAGTCTCGTTTGCATAGATGCTTTTGTGATGCTATAGCTCTTCATGGATCAATCATAATAATAAAGGTCACAGACTACTAAGTGATAAAGGGCCAAAAGGGCGCTGCTTTATCGACGCCATTTTGACAGTTGACATTATAGTAAATATTTTAATCGATTTTAGTGTTGTGTAGGGTAGTTAGTTTTTTTTAGGTTGTTTTTTTGGCAGTATTCCAAATTATTGCCAAAGCTTGTTTGTTTATTTTCTTAATATATTATTTATAGTATACGCCTTTGTGTTTTTGTCGCTGTCCTCCTCCTAGTTTTGGTTTTATAGGGCGGCAAAGCTTAAGGTGATTACCCTCACGTACCTTATATGTATAGAAATATTTTGACTTATAGTAATTTTATTAAAAAAAAATTATAACATTACTAATATTATCTTCAACCTTAGTAAGCTTAATATACTTGTGTGGTTCACGACAGTAGTCGAGTGACGGATTCGAACCCGCAACTACTGACGTTCGCGCTCCGCACCCTGCCAATAGGCTACTGTTGATTAAATGTTAAAATATTGAATTGTTTTATGATATCAGGCGCCGCTGCCACGTTGTCCGAGCTTCTGCCTGCCGACTGTGATGGCCGCCTTCTGCAAGTACCCTTCTGAGATCATCTCGTATACTAACTGCAAGCTGGCCAACATGTTCTGTTGTGATAATACAAGGTACTACGAGTTTTTAGTATATTTACATTAGTTTTGTAGTGGTGTTTGTATATGTAATGATACATTCAAAAAAGTAAGTTTAAACAAATTTTGGAAGAGCGGAGCTTCCATCAAAAGCTAAGCATTTGCTTAATAGGAAGTCATCATCATTACAGCCCTTCACAAATCCACTGCAGAACACAGTCAGGAAAGCTTACATCCAGCAGTGGATTTGGAATGGATGCCATAAACTACAATCCTTAGTCACCTGCATCCGTCCACTTCTTGCATGTCTTACCGCGTCACTCCTTCTAGTGGGAACCCGCCCTGAATGCCGAGAAGTTTTTCAAATTAAAAAGCATAACATTGAGGTATTATTAGGTACTACGTATAGAGAACGAGACAACGCCTAACATGATTTTGCGCCACGCTTTGCGGTACAATGTACCGCAACTGTTTAGTGAGTGTCCAACTTGCGAACAGACGAGTCGTATTCGCTTCGCATAAATAACAACTTCAAAATTCCTGTTTTTGTTCTTAAAGACTGCAGTGAACACTCCAGAACATCAAAAAAAGTGATGGTTTAACATTTTATCGGTAAGTAGACATTAAAACTGTTTAAAACTCTTTGATTTAAAGTTTTTCGCGTTGTTACAATGCTCACGAGAATCGGGCAAAATGTAAAATCTATGGGAGCGACTTGTTGTACACTACGTTGAACGATACGCGTAAGCGCCATGAAATTCCTGCGCTTATGACGTTTTGGTCGCGTGAAAACTAATCCCTAAAGCAAACTAACGCTGCATGTTTTAATAGTTTGGTTAGACGACGTAATTATTATTTTGGCGCTGCAGCGAACTTTAGTTCTAACTCTTACCAAAATAAAGCAAACTTTTGGTTCGGGGTGTCTGTTCTATACACTAGTAATATAGTTCGATGTATTTATTATAAAGGATTTTTTATTACCTACTTGCCACTGATGAGCCAATTGTGATGAGCAAATTTAAGCGCTAATTTATCATGTACTGCGCGGTGGGGAAAAACATTGTAAGGAAACCTGAATGTCCGAAATATTAAAAAAAGTATTTCAAAGACATATGAAATCTCTACCAACACGTAGTGGTGCAACGCGGCAGAAATTACTCGCACTAAAAACCTTTTAGAAATTCGAGGAGGCCTATGTTAAGGTGTGAGACATATAAGTATGTTAACATTGGCAAAGTATTACCGTATGAGTCTATAACCACAGTAAAAATACTTCAAAAATCACAGATGTACAGAACGGTGAATAAAACTTCTTTAAAATCCACAGAGCACTGAAGACGCCGCGTCCAACGACACACCGCACCACCACCACCACGACCACTCCGGCGCCAGCCGACCCGCGACCCGACTGTCCAGGCTCCTGCGTTGTACCGCTTCTCTCATTCACCTGCTTCCGTAAGTCTTATTCTTTTTCATCCATAATAGACTTTTCACTGAAAACGAGACACTCAGTCCTCAGGGGCGACTTAATTGAGGATAGATATAGATGTCTATGTGCCACAGCAGCTACCTACCATCAGGTGGATTATATGTTCGTTTATCACCCTTGTCTACGTATATAAGTCAAAGTCGTTTCTTGCGGTTCATATGCTTAGATATTTTAAACTACGCAACGGATCTTGATGAATTTTTGTGTGCGTTTGAGTGAGTCCCTGGATGGTTTAGATTCTCAATTGGACTGAGTAGGTGGAGCTGTTTTCGAGATAAAAAATCACCCGTGAGAAGCCGGGGCGGACCGGTAATATTCCATTAAAAAAATAGCCCACTGCTGGAAATGATCTTCTCGTATTGTAGAGAGCATTTGCGTTAATTGTCACACTTGTCAGAATAAATAGAATATTCTTCTAATCATAAGCAGTGTGTAACAGACAGTCTGTCGATCCTACTAAGGGCGTATAGATATACACATATAGACGTGGAATTTATGACAGTGAATTTTTTTGGTCGTTTTTAAAGGGATTTTAATGTTCACAATAGCCAACTTACTTAAGTTCGATCTTGTAAAAAAATGTTATTTACATCTGAACTGACATGCGCAACGATAAAGCACGCTCTTTGACAATACTTGTTAACCGATCAATGTAGAGGTAATAAACCATATATAATTTGCAACTAAAAATTAATTTTAAATTAATTTTAATCTTTTATGGTCTAATTTTCTGAATTTATTTTTTTTAAAGTTTGAAAACTTATTCTGATAACGCACCTAACGGGAACCACAGAGTTTTGTTACATGTGTATATTATTCGATATAATTACAGGCAATTTGTTGGTAAGTTGTCCAGTTATGGTTCTCTGAACGAAGTCATCCGAAGAGCTCTTGCCTCTATATATGTTCTCTCGGGTTTTGAGCCGTGTGGAATATTTAGAAACGATAGCAGGAGAGCCAACGGTATGACTTTGGTCCCTTGGGAGAGAGATAAAGTTCCTGGTGTAGGATGCTACGTACTTAGACACTTTGACAACCTCTAATCTCGGGAGTACCTCGTTTAGATCTGTGTAGCATCAGACGCTCAAGTTTGTTTAGCTTAGTTAGTTTCTTTCAATTTTGCAGACAACGCTGAAATAACGGACGTGTTCAAGTGCAAGAAGGCGGGGACGCAATGCTGCGCGCCCAAGTCAAAGATCCTGGAGCTGGTGGGCACGCCGGAGCGCAACGAGACATACCCTCTCACCACTACCACGCTGGCCGCGTACACTCACTACACGCCCACCACACACGCCATGGTGCCGCACACCACTCCCATAGATCGCATCGCGTGTTAGTACTCTCATGTTCAAATACTAGAGCGCTACTCCATTTTAAGATGTCAATAAGTCTCGTGGTGTCATAATCACTTTAACTTTAAGTGATAGAGACATCGTAAGCTAAGGCCGGTCACATACATACGGAATTCTGTTTCGGTATTCCATTTCGGAATTCCAATTCGGGACTCCGAACGCAGCAAGTCCATATAAAATCAATGACCCGTCACACACCTACGGTAGTTTTCCGTACGGAATTTTGCGGTTATAACAGGATTCCGTATGTGTGTGTCCTAACCCATTCCTTCCGTTTCGGAGTTCCGTACGTAGTGTATGGCGGACCTAAACGGATAAAAGTTGGCAGCGATCACTCCATTCCCAGGTGTTACTAATATCCATAAATTCCTTAATATTATAATAACCCCTTTTATATAATCTGAGTTTGATAAAGTTCTTGAATTTTAAGGAGGTCAAACAATCATTAAGTAGTAAGCTAAGCGCTTGGTTGCGCTATTGCAAGGCCGCAGGTTCGAAGCCTGCTCGAAACAATTATTCGTCTGGCCATCTGCAATATATTTATGTACGTAAAATGGCTCTACGATATAGAAGAAAATAGTGTGGGGTAATGTTTACTCGTACCGTGAAGCATTGTAAGTGATTAATTACAGACGTGAGAACCCTCGACCCTGTATTGATATTGATTGTAAGTTGTTTTTTTTAAGTCCCGCTGGGTTTCTTTCATGTTCTTCCCAGGACAGAGGTTTTTTCCGAAGCAGTGGTAAATTGAAAAAAGTGAATTTCAATAAGTATTATTTATAATCTACTGGATGATTTTTACCGTCAGGAAAAAAAGTTGGATGTATAACATATTATGAAATTTATCTATCAATAAATACTACTAATTTAAACTAATTTGAAATAAATTCTCGGTACTAAAAAAAAACAGAATTTTTTAAACTAAATAAATCAATCAATTTAAAAAAGTCGAAATTAAAATAATACGCACCCAATTAGTAGCATTTATTGATAAATCAATTTCATAATATATTAATGTAAAAGAAAAAAAGGTAAAATATCAGTGCCATAGGCTTCTATTCCGTTCACTTGTAACACACATTTTTTCCAGACGGTAAATAATTATTCAGTATATTGAATAAAAAAGTTTCTATTTCTGTGTCTGTAGCGCTACACTAACTATATTTTATTTAAATTATCTTTTATTGCTTTTTCAGATCCATACGAACCAAACTACGTATCAACGTTACGAGTACCGGAGAAGTACAATAAATACGTTTGCGGTGTGAAAGGTACGTATTCAAAGTGATAATATTAGCTATTAATTTATCTCAATTCATACATGTCCAACGGTCATGGCAGCCAACCTCAAGAGAGACTAGACTTTTGCACAGGACAGTATTATAGTGCCCGAATGTGTGAGCAAGCACAGATGCACTTTCTATTCTGTCGTCAATGGACCCGATGGAACGGCATTCCGACACTACTGGAGAGAGATCAGGCGCAGGACTACCGGCTTTGTGTACCGGCTTGCACGGGAGTGAAAAACTTCGATTTTATTTATTGATATAGATTAGGGGAAGCACCACGCTCTCACAGAATACCAGCGTAAAATAGCAGCTTAATGCTGCTGTGTTTCGTATGGTGAGTGTAGAGATCCGAAGACCCTTTTTTACTAGAAAAGAGGCATTCCATCTTAGTCCTCAGGGGTGACAACGCTCGTGGCAATGTGTGTGCTCGTTGTCACCCTAATTCTATAAAATAAAATAAAAAGATTACCAAAACATTGTTGCATGCGAACGAAGTCGCGGGCTCAGCTAGCTATATGTAAAGATTGATGAGGTGGCGGTGGGCGCAGGCAGCGGGGCGCGGGCGGCACGCGTGATGGGCGGCGAGGACGGTGCACCGGGCGAGTGGTGCTGGCAGGTGGCGCTCATCAACAACAACAACCAGTACGTGTGCGGCGCCGCGCTCGTAGGCACGCAGTGGGTGCTCACGGCCGCGCACTGCGTCACCAAGTCAGTTCACACCTTCATCAATACAATTTCATTCATCCCAGCCTATCAAAGTCGTAGGCCTCCCCCACACAGCTTTTTTAATTGCTATTATTGCGATTACTAATTCAAATTCAAACAATTATCATTAAGTGTTAATTTATTTATTTTATTACCTATCCTACAACTTATCCACCCTTTTCGGGTATTTAAATATTTATAGTCCTAAGCCTACTATAGGATACGTACTGATTTAAAGTTATCAATTATATATATTATATTAATTATTTATTTACATACATAAACACTCAAGCCCGTCACCCAGAGGGGTAGGCAGAGACTACAGACTTGCATTTGACATGATCCTGACAGACCTCTCTCGCCTCCTTCACATCCATATACCTACGCATAGAAATGCTCTAGAACTCTCTCTGAAATGAGAAGAAGCCTGTGCCCAGCAGAGAGTCGTATATAGGTTGTAACTAAAACTTTTTTTTAAACTTTTATCTAATAAACCATTTTTACTTTCCAGTATCGTGCGGTCTGGTGACGATTACTTCGTGAGAGTTGGCGACAATGATCTGACGCGGAAGTACGGCTCTCCCAGCGCACAGACCCTGCTGGTTGCTACCACCTACATCCACCACAACCACAACAGCCAGACCCTCGACAACGATATCGCGTTACTTAAACTGAAGACTAAAGCTGAGCTTAAAGACGGTTAGTATTTCTGTTAGAGTAAGGAATTTTTCAAGTATAGGGCGTCCCCCTACTAGATGGAGTAACGACCTGGTAAGACATGCAAGAAGTCGATGGATGCAGGTGGCTCAGAGCCGTGCTTTGTGGCATTCCTTGGGGGAGGGCTATGTACAGAAGTCAACTTGTGAAGGGTTGTAATGATGATGATAATGAAGAATTTATACGTGATAGAGCCATGGGTAAGTACTACGCTCGCATAAAATACCAACGTGAAATAGCAGTTTAATGCTGCTGTTTTGTATGATGAATGATAAGAACCAAAAATTATTTTCTAATAATAAAGAAGGCATTTCATCACACCTCAGGGCTGGCAACGGCATTTAAACCTTAATTCTTAAATGAGAATAGATTTAGCTTTGATATATGAATGGATATATGGGCCATAGCAAACACTTACAATCAGGTCGACCACACCTGTAACTCTTACTTTACTAAAACAAAAGAATATTGGACTACTCACAGTTCATCATTTATGTAACTAGTTCAAAAGGTAGGTGTTTGCATTTTCAAAATATTTTATTAAATAGGGACGACAAACACAGAGACAAAAAATAATTTCGTGTACGATGCAACTGTATCTCAAAACGTTGCGACCATCTTCTGGGGGTCACTTAAATACATACAGAAAGATAAAAAAATCAAACGGCAGTGTCTTCCTTATAACAACTTAAAATAAAAGACTGCGGTTGCCAACACGCTCGCCAACCTTGGCAACTATAATAAATAACCCCTATGAGACAATCTACAGGCGAGGCCTGACCGGTTTTTGATAAACAAATATCGTTTGCGTGTTTCAGGAGTGTGCCTGGTGTGCTTGCCGGCGAGGGACGAGGAGCATCCAGCCGGCAAACGCTGCACCGTCACCGGCTATGGGTACATGGGAGAGAGTGAGTATTTTTATAACCATCCACCACCCATACTATAAATAATAATAATAATGTCCTCCAGACCGAATTTCGCCCACGGCAGCCTGCCTCAACGGAGGCTAGCCATCGGCACAGGAAAGGATTATAGTGCCCAAGTGTATGCGCAAGCACAGGTGCACTCTCTATTCCCTCACTCTCAATTGCCGATGGGACGGTAAACCGACACGACCGGAGAGAGATCAGGCGCAGGACCAACAGCTTTACCTGCGTTCGCGGCAACACCGCCAACTTCCTGACTGCCGGCAGCTACTGAGAATTTCTTGACAGAAAAACTCAATAATTGATTTTTAGGCCCGACCCGGGATTCGAACTCAGGACCTCATGATCAGCAGTCGCACTACTACAACCACTAGACCAACGAGGCATATAATAAATAAATAAACCAAATTATGTTTGGTTACCAAACCTACAAACCCAGCTTGCAAATTAATAACCGCCCATGATGGAGTGACGACCTGGTAAAACATGCAGGAAGTCGATGGATGCAGATGGTTTAGGACCGTGATATGTGGCATTCCTTGGGCCTATGTTCAGCAGTGGACTTGTGAACGGCTGTAATGATAATGATGATATGAACTGTAATTCTTTATCTTAAAATATTGCTCGTGTAACTTCTGAACTACTTGACCGGTTGTGGTCATATTCATAGAATATATTCGTAATGACGAGAAGATGGTAAAACCCAGCTTCAAATGCCATGCCAAGCTTGTTAGGAGGATTGGCAACCGCAGCTTCTTTTTATTTTGCGTTGTTATCAGGTAGATGCTGGTGCCCTTCACCTGTTTCAGTTTCCTTCTTCACCTCTAACGGCACCCACAGAAAGCCACTACTCATTTGAACTATAAAAATATTAATGTTTACTTTATTTGCTCTTGTAAGTTTACATTGCCTTATACATAATACTATTTAAGGTATAACTATTTTAATTTGGGAGAGCCTGGTGTTAGTACTAGGAAAGACCTGTATGACAACACCAGACTCTCGTCCCTAAATGTAAACAGCTAAGCTAAGCTAAGCTTAATGTCAAAAAATAAAACCAAAAAATCTGGATCTGATCAAGTTAATAATAATTTTATATTTACATTATAAAAAGTTTGCAGTGAGCTCATTGTTAAAAACATTGTACGAGGGCGACACTGAAAGTTTTTAAAACTGGCCACTTGTAAACGATATAATAACAAAATAAGTTCAAATCTTGAAAATGGAACTGTTTTACAATTTTCAGGGGAATACCACACAATCATACGATTGTGTGGTATTCCCCTGAAACAGGTGGCGGAGTTCAAATATCTCGGCCATATAGTTAACGAGCGCCTCGTGGACGACGGTGATATAGAGAGGGAGCGAAGGGCGCTGTCGGTCCGGGGCAATATGTTGGCCCGCAGATTTGCGCGTTGTAATGCAGAGGTAAAATTAACGCTGTTTAGAGCCTACTGCCAGACCTTTTACACGTGCAGTCTGTGGGCGGACTATACGCAGCGGACCTTCAGAACTCTTCGTGTGCAGTACAACAATGTGCTGAGAGCGGTATTGGGGAAGCCACGTCACTGCAGTGCATCTGCAATGTTTGCGGAGGCTCGTGTAGACGACTTCTACGCGATCTTCCGGAAACGTGTTGCATCCATGATGGGCCGTTTAGTGAACAGCACCAATGCCCTTCTCAGCACTTTGGCGTGCAAACTCGACAGCCCACTCTGGAGGAGTTGGAATGGTGCACACACATATGCTAACAAGCGTGTGTGTATTTAATGTTAGTTAGTTAATCTTAGTAGTAGTTAGTAATTATATTTAATTTTAGTTAATTTTAATTTATTTTGATTTATTTTTAATTTATTTTCCTTTTATTGATTGATTTTTTCATTTTTTTTCTTCGTTTTGTTTTGTTTTTTCTTTTCTACTAACCAAATATGGACCCTGGTCTGAAATAAAGATTTATTATTATTATTATTTATTTACATTGAGTTATATGTACTACGTACTAGAGAAGCTATTCTAAATAAAAAATGTGCACTACTCTGTATCCGCACATGCGCGGGAAACAGTAGAGTCGCAGTTGATATAAACGCGCGAAAATAGTCATAATAAATAATTGTTTATTTATATTGTATTGTTAATCGAGTACATTTTTTTTAATTTTCGTTTATTTTGTATTTGTGCTAATTTAATATAAAATTATTATTAGCGCCGCTCCGCACTGCATGAATATCGAAGCCAAAATAACAGGTGTACGGATTGCAGTACAGTTCAGTTGAACATGTGAGTATTCGGAATGCGAGATCTAGTGCGAAGTACTTATATATCGATGGTATTTTATTAATTTGTCATTTGTTTACGTTTTGGCGGCTAATTGAAAGTTGTCTGTGTCACGTCAGCATGAATAAATTTTCGTACAATATTATTTTATGAATTTCGATGTCATTTAAGTCAACACGAAAATTATGATAGACTTCGATTGGCCTTTCACGATGAAGCACCGTTTTGGTTTAATAGTTTAAACGTGGTCGCACTAATCTCATCGATGATCTGCGTAAGGGACCGCCTTTTACGGTGACGGCTAAAGATAACATCAGTGTTGTGCGGCGTATTATAGAGACTGACAAAAGAGTAAATTTGTGAAGAGTGAAAAAGCTGGATTTATTGTTGTGATCCTAAAACAGAGACAGTCTGCTGTCTGGGTGTTTCCTTCCGAGGAATAGCCACCTAAAGTGAAGGGAGGTCAAAGCGTGGGAAAAAAGATGGTGGCCTCGTTCTTCGGAAGGATAGGTCATTACGCAACAATTGTTTTAGAGGATCGAAAAACAGTTACTGCAGAGTGGTACACTAACAATTGTTTGCCACATGTCTTAGAAAACGTTCGGGAGAAACGACCTGGCAATAGGATCCTCCTTCATCACGACAACGCTTCGTCGCACTACGCCAAGCAAACAATCGACTACTTGGCGACGTCAGACGTGGAATTACTGGGTCACCCGCCTTATAGCCCCGACCTCGCACTTTGCCATTTTTATTTATTTCCTATATTAAAAGAAAAACTTCGAGGAAAACGTATTATGGACGCCGAGGAAACAGTGGCTGCGTTTCAAAATGCCGTCGAAGAGACCTCTAAGCACGAGTGGGCAAAGTGCTCTTCTCAGTGGTTCCATTGGATGCAGCGATGTATTGATGTAAATGAACACTGTTTTGAAATGATATAATAAAACTAATAACTTGCTAGTTTGTTCAGTTTTTGATTTTCAGAGAACTTTCTGTGTCACCCTCGTCAGGACAGAAAATCGTATACCGGGCCAGTTAGTTCTAACACATAGAATAAGACACAAGTCCAAAAGCTAAAACAGTAATTAGCAAAACCTGACTGCGTAAATAAGTTTACTGAAAAGAGAAAACTTATATGTCATCATACTACTTTCACACACACCTCATTATTTTAAAATACATCAAACCGTTTAGGCTACAGACCGTGCCAAAGAAATATATATATCTATACGTCCCTGGTTCGATCCAGTTCGAGGGACCAAATTTGTCAGGTGTCCCACAAGTTAATTGGTAAAATACGGAAGTAATTACGGGGAGATAATGTAATAAAATAATCTGTAATAAAATGGTTATCGGTATGCTCATATATCTCATTAGCTAGGGATTAGCATTAGATAGGGATATTTTAATATCCCTACAGCTAGGCAGGCTTTAGCCTGAAAAGAGAAAAGAGAGACAGCAAAAAAAAAACTCCATTTATTGTGATTTCTCGATAATTGAACCACTTGACCAAATAGAAGACTTTCGAGAAATGGTCACCTGATGATAAGTGGAAGACATTGTTGGTATTTCATACTGGCATTCTTTGCTTCCCAGGTCAAGCCAAACCATTGCACTGCCACGAACTGTCAGCGTGTAAGTGCTGACTGAACGCGTTCTGACCTAAATACTGTACTTAAAAAGAGCATATTATTCCAAAATATATTCCCGCATTTCGTAATTTCCTTTCTAATTTTTAAGTGATTGTTATAATATATTTTGCAGCTGGACCCATCCCGTTACGTATCCGTGAGGCAGAGCTGCCAATAGTGAACGACTCGGAGTGCGTGCGGAAAGTGAACGCTGTTACCGAGAAGGTGTTCATCCTACCTTCTAGCTCCTTCTGCGCGGGGGGAGAGGAAGGCCACGACGCCTGCCAGGTCAGAGTTTCCTACCATTTTGTACAGTATATAACAAACAACCCGGTGATCCTTTTAAGGACGTATAGATGTACATACAGACATGGCATCAATGACAATGAAATTTTTAGTCGTTAGTAAAGGGATTTCAGTGTTCACAATAGGTAATTTACTAAATTCAATATTGTGGAAAAATGTTATTCACATCTGAACAGTTGTTAGTCAGACGCGCAATAAAAAAGCAGGGTCCTTGGCATTACTCTTACTTCCTGATCAATGCAGAAGTAATAAACCCACATACAATATGCAAATAATTTTTTTTTCATTTATATTGTCGCGATTTCTGGAGTTATTTCTATACGTTTCAATACTGATTCTGACAATGCACTTAACGGGAAACACAGGGTTTCTGTTAAATGTTTTATATGACATTATTATTTACTTCACATATAACACATCATTTTATATGACATTATTATGTACTTCACATTTAAGTCTAACACATCATTTTATATAATATTATTATTAACTTCACTATTATAACACATCATTTTATATAACATCATTATTTACTTCACATATAACACTTGATTTTACATGACATTATTATTAACTTCACTATTATTACACATCGTTTTCTATGACATTATTATTTACTTCACATATAACACATCATTTCACATAATTTTACGTGGTAGAGCCATGCTGCAGCTATATTAATGGGTTAATGGGTCGGCTCGACCGGGGTAGGACCACGCGCTCACGGAATACCAGCGTAAAATGCTGCTATGTTTCGTATGGTGGGTGTAGAGAACCGGAGACCCTTTTTACTCGAAACGAGGTATTCCATCTCAGTCCTCAGGGCTGGCAATGCATCTGCATTTTGATTCTTAATTGAAGATAAATATAGATGCCTGTGGACCGCAGCATCCACTTACCACCAGATGGACTGTGTGCTCGTTTGTCACCCTTATTCTATAAAAAAAACTCTTTTGTTTTAGATAATTGATAGAATCAGGCGTTACTTTGCGGAAATCCATTATAATAAAAAATAAAAATATAAATTTCTTTGCAACTTTCCGCTAAACATATAAAATGATGTGTCTTACCTGGATTGAAGCGCACCTCCCGCCCTCCCTCAATTGCATACACTAACTCCGTCACCACTAGACCAAGCACCACTACTCTCAACACCACTATTCCAGGCAAGACACACCATCGACGATAATACGACACGTGTTTCGCCTCTACACGAGGCATCCTCAGGTAATATAGACTCTACGGCGGCTGACCGCTAAGTGAGCGGCGAGTTTTTTTTTTTTTTTTTTTTTTTGCGCCCGAAGCAAATATGGGCAACCCGCCGGAAAGCGGGGGGAGGGAGGTTGAGAATGCTCATAGCATACCACGCAGCCGGCTGCGTGGTTATGTGGAGACTTTTACCCACTAAACTCAACCTTTTGGGAATTGGCTTAACGATCTGACTAGAGATCTCTAAGCCGTATACGAACGCGACCCTCCTTGGCAGAAAGGAGGGCGCAAGCGGCGAAAAGCCGCTTAGAAAAGTGCCTAACTAAGGCAGATTAATGGATGTGTTATGTAGGCTCGGCCCGAGCCGCCAGGAGGCAGTTCAGGTCAGCCGAAAGCTTGTTGGGGGGGTCCGAGAGAGAGTTTCTCGGTCTGCGCACACTATAGCGAGTGTGGATAGGGGCTGCATAGGCAGCTGTCTCACGAATGAGATGATTTGGGTGGGACTCTGAGGCTTTGAAAAATCTCTCAGAGAGTGATTTGAGGAACTGCTGGATTGTTGGGAGCTCTAAGTCTCGATGTAGGTCGGCATTACGGACATAATAGGGCGAGTTAGTGGCCCTACGACAGAATAGATTTTGAACTATTTGAAGTTCATTGATAGCTTTGGGTTTAGCGTGTGCAAAAATGGGGGCCGCGTAGGTCATGACAGGTCGTATGCAGACCTTATATAGGGTTCGCTTGTTGCGGAGGGACATTTTACTGTGTCTGCCCAACATGCTGTTGAGCCTACCCATGTAAAAACGTGCGGTGCGAGTAACCTTCTTGATATGGGGCTCAAAAGTGAGCCTTGCATCAAGGGTGACGCCTAGGTATTTGGCTTTAGTTTGCCATGGGACAGGGGTTCCTAACATCCTGATTGGCGGAGTGGTGGTGAGACGACGTCGTTTATATTCGAAGCAAACGGCGGAGCTTTTCTCCGGGTTTACGTCGATACGCCATTTTTGGAACCAAGCTCCTAAGTCGCTTACTGACTTTTGGATCTTGTTCCGAATCTGTGGTAGTGAGTTGCCTTTGGAGTAAAGGGCTGTGTCATCTGCAAAAAGGGCTAGTTTGACACCATTCGACGGGATAGGGATGTCGTTGGTGAATAGTATGTATAGGAGGGGAGCAAGCACAGAGCCTTGAGGGACACCGGCTTTTATTTGACGGGTAGAGGATAGCGTGCCTTCGTGTCTAAAACGAAAGGTACGATCCTTCAGATAGGAGGCTACAAGGCGAACGAGACGATCTGGGAGGCCTAAGTCGTACAGTTTGTAGATAAGGCCCTCGTGCCAGACTCTGTCGAATGCCTTGGCAATGTCAAAGAAGACCGCGATGGTTTTTGACGGCGAGGGTAAAAACCGCTGAGGATGTATTCCACTATGCGGTGAACTTGTTGGGGGCACGAGTGTTTGGCTCGAAACCCGAATTGTTGTGGGATGACAAGAGGGTCGCCGTCTGTGGGAAACAAATGGCGCCTCAAGCGCACGAGAATGACTCGTTCGAAAAGTTTGCCCACGGCCTTGAGGAGGCTGATGGGACGGTGATTGGAGGGGAGGTGGAGAGGTTTGCCTGGCTTGGGAATGCCAATGACAGTTGCCTCTTTCCAAAAGGTAGGAAAATAACTGAATTCGAAGCAGGCGTTAAAGATAATGGCCAGTAAGGCGATTACCTGCTCCGGGAAGTGTTTGAGGGCTTGGTTGGAGATACCATCCGCACCCGGTGCTTTTTTGGGCTTAAGTCCTTTGATGGTAGATGAAATCTCATCTTTGGACACAGTGATAGGGTCAGAGGCGGTAGGGGGGCGGGTTCCTGCGTCGGACCTCGTCCTCCACTAGTTGAATGTGTAAGGGGTCAGTGGGTTGTGAGCTAGGAGAGCATTGAGCGGCAACGCTGTCCGCGAAGCACTCAGCTTTTTCTTCGTCTTCGAAGGCAATGGAGCCGTCGGGACGAGACAGAGGGGGAGTATGGGCTCTCGCCATCCGGTAGTACGCTGTGTGAGAGGGAGAGATTTTCTCCATGAGATTGCCCTTTTCGTGGTCTCTGTAGTCTTGGAGGCGGTAACGCAATTTGCGTTGAAGGCGGGGGGCCACGAGTCTATATTCAGGAGTGGGATAGCGTGCAGCTCTACGGAGGGCGGCTTTTTTGGCTTTTAACAAGTTGCTAATATCTAGGGGAAGACTAGTTTTTGCAACCGGGACAACTTTTTCATTCTCTTTAAGAGAGGATGTTGAGTGAGGTGAGATTTTCGACCGCGGTGTCTATTTTCCCCGCACTGTCGAGGGCATCGGAAGAAAGGGTTATGGGAGGGTCCGGAGAGTCTATAGCCGAGGCTAGAGACTTTTTGAAGCCCTTCCAGTTGGTGTAGGTTTTAGAAGTGGGAGTTGGAGATGGCTGATGGTCAAGAAGGGGGGATACAGGACGGTGGTCGGATCCCAGATCGTCGAGAGGCTCGATTGCTCTAAGGTTAAGGGAAATTCCTTTAACTAGAGCAAAATCTAGCACATCAGGAGCGTAGGTAACAATGTCGGGATAGTGGGTGGCAGTGAGGGGGGCTGTAGACAGTTAGGTCGAGAGACTGAGTGATATTGAGCAGCACCCTGCCACTACTGGTAGTAGTTCGGCAGGCCCATTCAGTATGCTTGGAGTTAAAGTCTCCAAACATAATGACTGAGTCGCCTAATGCAAGGATAGCTTCGAAATCACTCTTGACGGGGAGGGTTCCGCTAGGGATATAGCAGGAGGCTAAAACGATTGACTGGTGTCCAGTCATGGCTAGTCTAGTGATAGTGGCTTCCATACTAGTAAGCGAAGGAGTAGATATGTGGGAGCAATGAAGGGACTTTTTGTGATAGATGGCAGTACCGCCGCCTTTGCGGTCGGGTCTATCGTTACGTATAAGTGAATAATTTTTAATAGTAAGGCCTTTAGAGACCTTGGGACTGAGATGGGTCTCCTGTAGGAGTAAGAGATCGGCTTCGCGATCTCGTAGAAAAAGCCTAAGCTCTGGGAGGTTATTTCGCAGACCGCGGATATTGAATGAAACAAGCGACAAACCCTTTGGTTTGATACGACCGTGAGATATTGCGGGAGCAGAGGGCTCCGGCATAATTAAATTACAAGGACCTTAGAAGGTTGATGTGCTCGGTAAGAGCTAGGAGGCGGCCCTGAGGGGACTGAGCTGTGCTCAGTTTATCCGCAAGGATGAGGATTTCGTCCAAATTGATTCTATTGAGTGTGTTATACACTAGGTTTAGAGACTCTACAACAGAGTCTGTCTGTTTTTTTGGGTCGGCGGAGGGCCGCGGGATATTTGATTCCTTTTGGAACCAGGGGGTTTATTGGGAGCGGCGCTGGCTGAGAGAGCGGGAGGCTCATAAGGGGCCGAGGAGGGCCCTGTGGGGGCCGATAGATGCCCTGTGTGGGCTGAGATGAGCCCTGAGGGGGGCTGAGGTAGGGGCTGACCCTGGCTGGGCTTGCGGCTTACAAGAGCCGGGAAGGTTCGGTCATTGACCTGTGGTGGAGCTTTGCGGCTCGGAGGTAAGCGAGGGGCGCGAGGGCAACCTCTAAAATTGGCCGGATGGCCTGTTTGTCCGCAGAGGACACATGAGGGTGGGGATTCGGCGTTTTTGGGCCGTGGGCACTCTTTCGAGTGATGGGGTTCTAGGCACTTAATGCACCTGGGTGGAGCTGAGCAGTTGGCTGCCGCGTGTCCATAAAGTTGACAGCGGTGG